GCACTGAGCACGGCAGCCCTTGGACAGCATGGCCATGCCACCGCCAGCTCCCAGCAGCTCCTGTCCAGGGCTCAGCTCTTCCTGGAGCTGATAGCTCTGGGGCTGGAGCTGCCTCTGGGGCTGGAGCCGCCTCTGGGGCTGGAGCCGTGTGCAGCCAGGCCTAGGAGACACAGCCAGCACACACACGGCTCACAGGGGGTGGGCTGGGAACGGCACTGGGATGGCCCACGTTACACCTGGCCATGGCTGGTGGCCCCATCAGTCGCTTGGGACCACCTGTTGTCCCTCCCTCACAAGCAGTGCCACTGTGCTGGTACCACAGCACCAGGAGTGGCAATGGAACTGGTGCTACCAGTGGTGCTGGAACTGCTGCACTCCCTGCGGTGACAGGGGCAGAGGGACACAGCAACTGCCCCCTCCCACATGTGACTTTTCCCAGAAACAGGCCACCTGTCACCCCAGCCATCGCCTCACCCAGCTTATGGGGAAAAGGGAAGGAAAACCAGCTTCTGGGGAAAAAGCCTGATCTGGGTCTGGCCCGCTTCAGTTGCACACCCCCTCCTCCGCCTGGGGAGCCCCGCAGCACACAAGGCAGAGCTGCAGAGCTGGGGCTCAGCTGCTCCTCAGCTGCAAACCCAGAGCCCGGATGTCACCAGAGTCGCTGACCCACCGCAGAGGGGTCTGTCGCAATCCGGGGCTGGGCACTGAGGACTGCAGCGGGGCCTGCCCGGGAACCGGTGCTCCGGGATGTGGCCACTGCCACCGGGGCCGGAAGCACCCTGTGGTGGCGCTCCCTTGCCACCAGGTGCCACTGTCGAAACACTCGCACCACGCCTGCTGCAGCACAGCCAATGCTTTACCGGAGAGGCCGTGGCCAAGAACAGAGCCAGGAGTGCTGCCTGGCATCCCTCACAGAGTCCAGGCTGAAAGAAGGTTGGCAGGGACTGCCCATGCCCCTCGGCCGCCCGCGCCCCTCTACTCGGTCCAAAAGTCTGTTAAATAAACTCGATGCCCTCGTACTTCACACTCCCGATCCTGGTCTCGGGCAGGAGTAAGCGCCCATCCAGGGTGAAGGCCATGATGTAGCTGGAGATCTTGCCGTTGTCCTCTTCTGATTTCAACGCCACGATGATCTGGTCATCCGTGTCCGGAATGAACTTGAAGGAGGAGAAGCCGTGGGTGGGAACCACCTCGCCCACATGCCCTACTGTCACGTCCCCGAAGTCCTGGGTGGAGCTCAGCAGCAGGTTGGTGCCTCGCCGCTCGTCCGCCCTCTCGCTGTAGCGCTCGTGGCTGGCGCGGCGTGGCAGGAAGAACCAGCGCTGCAGCGTGTCGCTCCAGGAGGCCGACTCGTGGATCAGGTACCCTGCGGCAGGAAGCGGAGTGTGAACGCATGGGGCACGTGGGCACTGGCCGGGCCCCTCCAAAACACTTCACAGGTTGCAGCCCCCGTGAACATTTCTGCCTCCTCCTGCCCCGCTGCCCAACAGCAACATCTCAATCCCTTCCAGAGCCAGACAGGGGCACCTGGCACAGCCTGCTCTGCCCAGGGGCCTGCCAGCCCCGTGTCAGCTGCGCCACCCCAGCTGCTCGCGGTACACTCAGGAGACGGAAATGGCCAGGGCAGGGGAAAGCTCTGGCCTCTGTGACAGGACACAGGGGGGTCTCTGACTGTCAAAGGCCTTTAAATCTCACCCAGTCCCAGTATCCCTAGGGAGGGTGACCAGCCCTGGAGCCGTCAAGGTGTGGGATATGGGGTGGCAGGAGGTTGTACCCGCTCCATACCTGGGGGTCGGATTCCTGCTGCAGCCCTCAGGGCATTGTAGTTTGCCACCCAGTTCTCGTGGCTCACGTCGCCCTTGTAGCCGATGACCTTCACCCATAGGGGGTTCTCGTTCACCACCTCCCCCGTCGTGGTGGTCCACTCCTTGCCCAGTCCCCCCACATACAGGTGCTCATCCTTCACCGCCAGCCACTCTGCCTTGAAGCCTGCGGTGGAGAGAATGGCTTGAGAGGGGCTTGGCCAGCACAAGGGCATCAGTCTGGCCCCACACCCTGAACGCCACACCCCAGAGCCTGGTGCTGGGCAGAGCAGGCCCCACACAGCTGGTCCCTGGACAGGAATTGTCCCTATCCTGGCCAGGCACAGGGGTCACAGGAAAGGTACACCCCACCCCAACAAGCTGAAAAGAGCCAAGCTCGCTGCTTCGCTGCTCTGCATCCACAGGGCAGGAACGGGAGCTCACCTTTCCCCACAGTGCCATCCCCATCCGGGAGGATCACCCAGGGCACCACCTTGTTGCCCTCGATCTGGTAGACCACACCAGTCCGGTCATCCACAGCATACAGCTTCCCGTTGAAAACCACCAGCTCAGAGAGCTCCATGCCCCGGCCCTTCTCAGCCAGGTGGGACTGCAGCACGCTCTCGTCCTTGTCCCACTCCACGGTCACGCTGTCCCCACTGTCTGACAGCACCAGGTAACCCTTCTTCAGGTAACTGAACCAGGTGTGCTCCTGGGAGCCCCGGGACTGCGTGTCCAGGTCGGCGATGACACCGATGCGGTAGCGCACACCCTCGGGGTTTCTCTGGGGGGGGGACAGTGGGTAGGTGTCATTGTAGCGGTCCCCTGCCCGCAGGCTGAGCTGCCAGGTGTGAGGGCTGGGGGGGCCATGTCGTGCTGGGGAGGAGCGGTGCAGGCAGAAGAGCAGCAGCACAAACCCCACGCAGGCTGAGGACAGCACGATGGCCTTCCAGCGCAGTCGGAAGCGGGGATCAGCACCCTTGGTCATGGACGCGAGGACAGGCAGACCACCCACGCTGATCCGGAGGGGGCTCATAGACTCATGGCAGGGCGGGACTGGCATTAGAGTGGGGGCAAGGAGAACCTAGTGGAAAGAGGGAAGGAAGAAAGTCAGATTGCTGGAGTTGACACCAACTGAGCTGGGGGGGGCAGGACACAACCGTGAGGGGCCCCATCCCCTCTCCTGTAGCAGGAAAAGGTAGGAGCCTCATGCGGGTAGGAGCCAGCACACCCAGGGGCTGTTTGCTACTGGAACCACTCTCAGCCCCTCTCACCTACCCACCCTGTGCCCTCCCTAAACAGAAAGAGCCCCAGTGCAGTGGCAGGAACACACAACCTGCCCAGCACCTTTACCTGGCCCAGGGTCACTGCAGCCCAGGCAGGGAGCCAAAGCACCTGGCTCAGTGCAAGTCCTGTATCAGAGTGTCCTGGGGCATGTTCCTGCACAGCCCCAGGAGCAAGCAGGTTCCCCTCTGGGACTGAGGATGACCTTTACTGCCTCCGAGGAGGCTGGTCGGCTCGGCCCAGCTCCTGCAGCCCTGGGAATAGGCCCACTGGTGAGGGGTGAATGTGTCCCCAGGCTCCACAGGGACACCGTGAGACACGTGGCAGCTCCGCCCGAGCAGGATGCCAACACCTGAGCAGGAAGCACAGCACAGGGCACACACCCCAACGTGCTCGGCCTTAAAAGACACAGCAGACCCCCCTCCCTGCACATGCTCACAGTGTATATTCCTCTGGGCATATGGGCACTGCAAGCCCACCCCAGGCTGTGCCCACCCGCGGGGCCAGGATGCTGGCAGTTCTCCTCGCTGCCACCTCCCTCCCTGCTGCACAGTGGACGTGGCAGTGGCCTGGACTCCCGCAGAGGGGCACTCCGGGCTGCGCAGGGGGCAAGAAGCCCCCAGGACCGGACCCATGCTTGTTCTGCGCCATGCAGCCTGGGGCAGAGAACCCCAGCTCACGGCAGGGAAAGGGGTCTCCAGCTGCCATCCCAGGACTGTCCCCAAAGGGCCCGTGTCCCCGCGCCCGGCGCTGGGCTCGAGTCGCGCTCCCCGCAGGGTCTCAATGTGCCTTTCAGCAGCCCGAGCGGCGAACAGAGCCGGCATTGAGCGTGGGGGGCCGACCCCGGGCAGGGAGGCTCCGGCGCGGCGGGGACAGGAGAGCCCGCGGGGCGGCTGCTCGGCCCGGGACCCCGCTGGGGCGGCGTGGGGAGCGCCCCTCGCCCTGCCGGGACCCTGGAGCATCGCCCTCGGCAGGTCCCAGTGCACCCCCCCTTGGGTGTACTAACTCCCACCGCGGCTGTAGAGACCCCGGCATGGCCTCGGGGACCCCCAAAACCCCGGGCCACGGTCACAGGCACCCTCCCGGGCATGGACGCGGGGACCCCCCTATCTCCACCGGGCGCGCCCTTGGGGACCCCCGCGCGTCTTCCCGGGCGAGCCACCGGACCGAGCGGGGCCCTGAGGTCCCCCGCGCCCCCCGCGCGGTGCACAGCCCCGGAGACCCTGCCGTTCTCGCCCGGGCAGGGTGCTCGGGGCCCGCGGTGCCAGCGCCGAGTGGACACCCCCGGCTGCCGGCCCGGCGCCCCCCACCCGTGTCCCCGCTCACCGCGGCGCCGCCGCTCCCCCGCCGCGCGCAGCCGCCGCCTACAGCTCCCGGCGGCCCCGCGCACCGCGACCGGGAGCGGCCAGAGCTCCGCGGCCAGAGAACTACAGCTCCCAGCAGCCCCAGGCGGCACTGCCCGCCCGCCGCGGGGATGCCGGGAGCTGCAGTCCGCGCCGGGGCGGGCCCCGCCCGGGCAGGGCTTCGCACAGGGACGGACGGAGGAGCCGGAGCTGCGGGGTGGGCACAGCCCGGCTGTCCGGAGGACGTGACCTCCCTGCCGGTCCCGCTGCAGCCCGGCCCTAGCCTGCAGCAGATTCTGTCGCTGTGCCGGCTGTCCCCCGTGCCCCTCTGCCCCTGGGGGTGTGGGGAGCGGGACAGATCCAGCCATGCGGTGCGGGACCCGTGTGCGCGTCCGGCCACCAAAGGTGGTTCCCGGTGGGGCTCTGCTGGCCCCGGTATCCTCGGGGCTGAGAACGGCAGCGGCGCTCCCGGCGTGGGGCAGGGTCCTGCCTCGGGGCCAGCGGCACCCGCTGGGGGCCCGCTCGTGACCGTGGCGGGGCCGTCCCCGGGAGCACACACGGTCAGTTCGGCCGGTCCCGGGAGCACACACGGTCAGTCCGGCCGGTCCCGGGAGCACACACGGTCAGTTCGGCCGGTCCCGGGAGCACACACGGTCAGTTCGGCCGGTCCCGGGAGCACACACGGTCAGTTCGGCTGGCCCCGGGAGCACACATGGTTAAGGCGGCCGCGGGCGCACATCTGGCGGGGGAGGGCTGCGAGCCTCGTCCCGCGCCTCGCTGCCTCCTGCGCTTCCAAAAAGTGCATTTCCGCCCGGGCCGAGCGAGGAGAAGGCTCCGAAGCGGGAGACACCGATCGGCCACGGGCAGGCTCTGCCCCGGCCTGGGGGATGCTCTAGGGCAGCAAAGGCAGCGCCGGGAGGGAGCAGCCCTGCCCCAGAGGTATGTGGGGGGCAGGTTTTGGGGGGCCCTGCAGGCCTGGGCACCGGGCCCAGAGCTGCACCGTGTTATGCTCCCATCTGTAGCTGCTGCGGCATCCCTGCGGAGTCACCCAAGGCAGCTCGCCTCGCCAGGATCTCGGGTGCCCTGGGGCAGGTCCAGCGAGGGGCACCGGTCCTGGTCCGTGTGCCTCCCCCGTCCAGTGAGGCCCCTGCCCTGCCTGTGAAGGGGTGGTGGGCATCACAGGGCTGAGCCTCACAGTCCTCTGAGGGCACAGCCTGACCCACCGCGGCTCAGGGAGGACACAGATCCCTCCCAGCCCTGCCCCGGCTTTGGTCCCAAAAAATCTGTCCCTATGAACACATCAAACTCAGGCTGGGCCCCCCCAGCACCTCTGTAGGGGACACATTGGCTGTTGGGGTCCCCTGCACAATATCTTACTGGTGCTGCAGGAACTGGAAGGCTGCAACCACCCGGTGCAGACCCCACCCTGCTGCCTGTGGGGTCTGCACTGCTCCAGGAGGGAAAAAAGGGCTCTGCAACCATTCTAACTGCTGCAGCAGAACGTGGGGGTCCTGTCCCACCAGCACGATCCCAGAGGCATCCCAGCTCCAGCTGCTATGGAGCAGGGAAGTCTGTATCCACCACCCTGAGTGGAGGGACAAGCAGAGGGTGCAGGTCCTGCTGCCTACATGCCACCCTGAGCCCCTTGTTCCTCCCCCAGGGTTTGTTCTGTTTCATCCCAGTCTTTTTCTCTGTCTGGAATGTATTTTGGGATGTTTTGACTTGCAGTCCCAAGGCTTCCGCCGCCGCTGTGTTTAAATCTCCAACCGTTCCTGGAGAGCATCCAATCCTGACAGGAAAAACCGCGTCCCTCGGCAGGGCTGTGCGTGCCCGCACGCACGTGAGCACCTCCCACCCGGCACACCTGAGGGGTACAGGGGACACATGCTGGGGGCCCTGAGAGCCCCACGTGCCCTGTGTGTGCCACATGCTGGCCTCCATTCCCAGCAGCCTGGGAAACACTGTCTTCTGCACTGGGAACTTCCTGGTGAGGTTTTCTCCTCGTGGAGCAGCTCCCTGTGACACTGCGTTTTCCCCAGGGCTGAGCCTGCTCTGGGTCCCAGGGGAATTTCTGATTTCATGGTCTCAGAGCTGAGGGAATCCACAGGCTTCCCATGCTCCCAGCATGCTCCATGCCGTGCTCAGCGGCTCAAGGCCAGGCAGGGTGAGCAGAGCCAGGACCAAGGCTGGCCCTGGGTGGTACCTGCTCACGAGCCCCTACTTGACCTTCTCCATGCTTCGATCCATGAATCTGCCTCTCCCCTGCCTCAGAGCTAAGTGCCCACAGCCCTGCTGGGGTAAGAGATGGTGGGACAGAGGGGCCTGGGAACCATGCAAAGGGGCCAGGCCACTTAGCAGAGGGTGCAAGCAGTGGGAAAAGCCCTTTGGAGCTTTTCCCCATCACTTCGCCCCTTCCCGGTTCTAGTGACTCATGATCCAGTCATCTGCCCTGGCCTCGAATGCCCTCTGCACCCGCTGCAGGAGCACACACAGTCCCTGGACCCCCTTCTTGGGAACAAGAGTAACAGCCACCCAACATTGACTGAGGGCCCCGGTGCTCCGAGAACAGACATTCACCAAAACAACAGGATTCTGCCCCAAAATCCCTCCTGGCCTCGCCCACCGCCAGGACAGGGCAGGGCAGGGCTGTACAGGCCCTTTCCCCCTTGGGCTGTGCTCTAGGATGCCGTCAGAGCGTGTGGAGCGTGGCCGTGAGGCTGCTTGGGAGGGGAGAACGGCAAAGGCCGCACCCAGTCCCAACCCAGAGAGGCGCCTGGCTAAGACAGGAGTCTGGGGAGCACCCAGCCCCATCCCAGCCCAGCCCCACTCAGACCCTGCTGCTGCGGGATGCCGAGCACTGGGCAGTGCCACACGCCTGTTTGGCCAGGGCTGTCCTGGCGCCTGGGGGCCAAAGGACGAGGTGCTGCGTGCCCAGCCCCACGTCTCCAGCAGATATGGAGCGATAAGGCAGGGAAGGGCCGTGGAGGGCCCGGGCTGGGCCACGGTGCCACCACCACTGCAAATATTAGTTTTGGCCCCACACAGGATGTGGTCTCCTAAGAAGGTTTCTCCCTGTGGTAGCCAGCTCTGAGTTGGGGTTGCCAGCCCACATCCACGTCTCTGAAAAATACGGTCTTGTGCCCTTGCAAACCCTTTGGCTAGCAGCCCCTGGGGCACAGGAGTCCCCTGCAGAGCCTGTGCTGCATCCTTTCAGGAGTGGGGATGGAGATATGCTCCCCAGACAGGGCTGGAGTCCCACACACAGGCAGGGCTGCACCCTGACATTTGCCTCATGGCATCTGGAGCTGCCTGTAATTTTTCAGGTGCTGACATCCTAAGTTGCTGCTCTTGGGCATTCATGGGACACAGCTGAAACCAGGCTGAGCAGGAGCAGCAGCACTCGGCCCAGGACTTGGCTGGTCATCCAGAGCCTGCTGCTCCACTCCACCCTCAGCTCTCCAGGTAATCCCCTCTGCTGTGTACCAGGACCTGGGAGACTACATGGCCCTGGCCCACGTGTTGGTGAGCCCAGAGTCTCCACACTGCCCCAGTGTGGGTCTCCCCCCGTGCTCACTGGGGTGACACCGTGTCCCACAGCCCAGCCAGAAGCCTAGGGGTGTGCAGTGCACAGGTCCTGTCCCAGAACAGGACAGGGTATGGCTGGGCTGGGCATTTCCACACTCCTGTCACCCTCAGCTGTCCCTGGCACCTCACAGGGCACTGCCAAGGCATGGAGGGGCTGCGGGCACAGAGTGTCCTGCTGCTCTGCCTGCTGCTGTCCTGCCCTGTGGGGAGCCAGACTGGACCCCACCCCGACCAGCAGTGGTGGACAGATGCTGAAGAGGCCCCGTCCCAGCACCAAGCTGCCAGGTGAGGGGACCCCAGGGCCAGGGCACTGCAAAATGGGAGCCAAGGCAGCCTTGGCGCCGCAGAGGGCCCCTGCTCCCCCCCATAGCTCCCTGTTGGGCTTTGCTTTCTGCCTTGCCAGGGCCACACGGGAGCAGAAGGGTGATGGTGCCCAGGAGGGGCTGCCCCCACGGCCCCGCTGTGTCCGCTGCTGCCCCCCGCCCGACCAGTACCAGCCTCTGCCTCAGATCAACATGACCATCCTGAAAGGTGAGGGCTGGCAGGACCCCACTCTGTGTGCCAGCATCTGTTGCCCCACAACCGGTGCCACTCTGGGTTCCCAGTGCCAGCTCTTGCACAGACTGGGAGCAAGAAGCTGGGGTGATACCTGTGGTTCAGAGCCCCTGCTCTGGTGGCCTCTGGGCAGCAGCACCAGAGCCTGGGGAGGGGGCAGGGGCAGATTGGGGCATCCCTGCTGCCTCCATCCTTCTCTGTCAGGCAAACGGGCCTTCAGGATGTGGGTTCAGTGCTGGCCCCCACCTGACAGCCCAGCTCTCCCTCCTGCTCTGCCCAGGGGAGAAGGGGGACCGTGGCGAGCGCGGCATCCAGGGCAAGTTTGGCAAGACAGGGGTGGCCGGCAGCAGGGGCCACGCGGGGCCCAAGGGACAGAAGGGCAGCGTGGGCGCCCCGGGGGAGCGCTGCAAGAACCACTACGCCGCCTTCTCAGTGGGCCGCA